ATCGGAGGTTAATGCTTAGGTTGCGGTTGCTTAAGAGCTTTCTCATTTTGATGAATTTGGATCTTACTATTTCAATTCGGATCTTAATCTCTACTTCTGGGTCCCACTTGTCATTTACTGTATATCCCAGATATTTAAATCGGTGTACTCTTTCAATACGTTCGTCTTTAATATGCAGGTCGATATGTTGAAATTTTTTTTACTGATCACCATAAATTTAGTTTTCTTTCTATTGATCTTCAGTCCAAATCGGCTGCCAGTTGTATTAACTCTATGTAGCATCATCTGTAAATCTTCGATGTTATCGGACAGTATAATAGTATCATCTGCATATCGAAAATTACTTATTGGTACGCCATTAATCTTGATGCCCTCATTGTACTCTTCTAGTGCCTCTAGAAATATTTGTTCCGTGTACAGGTTGAAAAGCAGTGGCGAAAGAATACAGCCCTGTCTTACCCCTCTAGAAATGGTTATGTTTTCACTCACCCTATGTCCATTCTTCATGTGGGCTGTTTGATTCCAATATAGATTTTTTATAATCTGGATGTCCTTAGTGTCAAGTCCTGAAAGACGTAATAGTTCTATGAGTTTGTCATGTTTGATAGTTCTCATAGTCGATAAAACAGACGTAAACATCTTTCTGTTGATCCAGGCATTTTGTAGATTGCACTAAATAATTATATATTAGTTATAATGATAAAATACAAGAAATTTTCTTTGAACACAATTTTTGCAATAGTGTTTGTTTCTTTTAATTCATTTCTTTTATCTTATTATGTTTACATGGACTGTCATTTCATTGAGAATCAAGTATTATTTATCGAATTTAAAAATAATGTGAAAGTTAAAAGTCCATTGAAAAGTTACATTAGGGTTGCATTTTTGAGAGGACGTAATTTTATTTTTTTTATGTGTTCAGAAGATAAGAATACACTTAAGTTCAAATTTGTGAGGTTGCCACTCTTGTCCCCCAGTCGACATCTTGGAAAAGGGATGCAAAGGGTTTTCGCACAGTATCTCGTAAATTAGAAACCCTACAGAAACTTTTAGTAGACATTATTTGTAGTAAATTAAATTATCTACAACTTTATTTCTATTACATTTATCGTAACATGGAAAATAAAGAAGTTACAAACAAAATAACTAAATATTTTTGAACAAATCTTCTTTTTTCTGATCATTTTACAATAAAATGGCATTCAAAGCAATCGTATAGAATGATTTTCAAAGAATAATTTTCACTACAAACTTGTTCAATTTTGTAGTTCTTGTTGACCGGCTTATTGAATAGTCACAATCTTGGAATAAAGGGTGCAAAGGGTTTTCGCCCTGTATCTCGTAAACTCGTTCGTCAACGAGCACGTGACTGCAATTAGAGAAGAATCGAACGATGAACAAACGATCAAACTTATTACAGAAATAGTGCAAAATGTAAAGGATAAACACTTAGGAGACAGAGAAATTAATGAAGAAAAAATCATGGTTGACAGATGAGATCCTGAAACTAATCGACGAGAGAAGAGAAGCCAAAAATGACCCAGACAAATTCTTCTTCTTGTAGTTCTTTCTCCAATCGGAGGTTGGCTATCATCACAGCTATACCACTCTCTAAGGTTTCTCAGCCAAAAAATTCTTCGTCTTCCTATGGATCTTTTACTCATATTTCGCACATCTGGTAATGTGGCCTAAATATCCCAGCTTTCTTGTTTTGATGTGCTTTATGACCTCACAAGACCCAGACAAATATAAAACCATACATATATTAATAAGAATAAAAATCAGAGAAGCAAAAGAAAAAGAAGCAAGGGAAAGATGCGAAAAAATTGAGACTGCAGTTAAAGACGAAGGCAGAAAGGAAATATAACTGATTCTGGCGGAAACATCATCTTGGACAAACAGAGCTATGTAGTCAGTAAAATAAGAACGTGAAAAGAATATCTAGAAAAACTATTTGAAAACCAAAGAGATAACACCTTTGAGCTAGAAGAGGTAAATGATGGAGTAAATGATGGACCAAGAATATTACAGCAGGAAGTTTATTCCGCAATAACACAGTGAAATGATGGTAAAGCGGTAGGCCCTGATAATATACAAGCAGATCTACTCAAACTAATGGACAACTAATCAATGGTAAAATTAATTACTATTAAACTGGGAATAAGCCACAATTAAAGATAAAAATACGTTTATTGACGTTTCAATTTCCACTTCGGAAATCGTTCTCAAAATACAAACAGTAAATTAAACAAATTTTGTTTTTTGTTACATAATGAAAAATTCTTCTAATAATTTAATTTTAACTGACTCTTTTATATTGACAATTCAGACATACATTATGCATTTTAAAGTAGACGACTTTAAAATGATATTGCCAATATTGTTGAGTTGCGCTCCTGGGACGACTTTACTTATAAGATAGTTCATTCGATTACATGAAATCAACTTTAACTTGAGAATATCCGTCAGAAAAAAACAAAAAAATCATAGCATGTAATTCGTCTTTAAAAAGACAAACACATGACATGATGACAGTAAAATTCTCCTGTTAGTGATTCCATAGTAAATTATGAGGGAAAACCAGGAAAAAATCCTCATAATACTATCCCGACATTGTAAGTATTTGTTCGTGAATTTAGTTTACCTTCAACAAACATCAAAATTCTGATTTTATATGTTACGTTATTTAAAAAACATAAATGATATATCCTCTATATGTTACTGACTTACTAATACTGGTATTTTCTTATTAATAACTTCCTCTTTCAATATTGGTAACCAGATCCTACTACATTCTGCCAAGGAATTTGCGACACAATTGGCCTCATTTAGCATAATTAGAGCCGCTTCTTTGATTTTTCTTTTTTTACCATCCGTTTCTTTTAGGACTACATTTGAATTATTCCATTGAACCCTATGTTCATTATCCCATGCGTGTTTACAGATTTGAGATCTATCAAATTCTCTATTTTTAATATAAGATTGATGTTCACTTATTCTAACATTTAATGGCCTTGATGATTCACTTAAATAAAACTGATCGCATTCACAAGGTATTTTATAAATGCAATTTTTTGTCCTTTCTTGTTCATTGTTAGGTTTGGTTTTGGACAAAATAGATCTCAACGTGTTTTTTGTTTTGAATGTTGTTGAAATGTTGAATTTATTTCCTATCCTTTTAAGTTTTTCTGATAGTCCTTTTATGTACGGTATTGTTATTTTCCTCATATTATTCCTTGTGTATGCTGTAGGATTGGATTCGATCGATTGGAATAATATGAGGAAAATAACAATACCGTACATAAAAGGACTATCAGAAAAACTTAAAAGGATAGGAAATAAATTCAACATTTCAACAACATTCAAAACAACAAACACGTTGAGATCTATTTTGTCCAAAACCAAACCTAACAATGAACAAGAAAGGACAAAGAATTGCATTTATAAAATACCTTGTGAATGCGATCAGTTTTATTTAGGTGAATCAAGGCCATTAAATGTTAGAATAAGTGAACATCAATCTTATATTAAAAATAGAGAATTTGATAGATCTCAAATCTGTAAACACGCATGGGATAATGAACATAGGGTTCAATGGAATAATTCAAATGTAGTCCTAAAAGAAACGGATGGTAAAAAAAGAAAAATCAAAGAAGCGGCTCTAATTATGCTAAATGAGGCCAATTGTGTCGCAAATTCCTCGGCAGAATGTAGTAGGATCTGGTTACCAATATTGAAAGAGGAAGTTATTAATAAGAAAATACCAGTATTAGTAAGTCAGTAACATATAGAGGATATATCATTTATGTTTTTTAAATAACGTAACATATAAAATCAGAATTTTGATGTTTGTTGAAGGTAAACTAAATTCACGAACAAATACTTACAATGTCGGGATAGTATTATGAGGTTTTTTTCCTGGTTTTCCCTCATAATTTACTATGGAATCACTAACAGGAGAATTTTACTGTCATCATGTCATGTGTTTGTCTTTTTAAAGACGAATTACATGCTATGATTGTTTTCGTTTTTCTGACGGATATTCTCAAGTTAAAGTTGATTTCATGTAATCGAATGAACTATCTTATAAGTAAAGTCGTCCCAGGAGCGCAACTCAACAATATTGGCAATATCATTTTAAAGTCGTCTACTTTAAAATGCATAATGTATGTCTGAATTGTCAATATAAATGAGTCAGTTAAAATTAAATTATTAGAAGAATTTTTCACTATGTAACAAAAAGCAAAATTAGTTTAATTTACTGTTTGTATTTTGAGAACGATTTCCGAAGTGGAAATTGAAACGTCAATAAACGTATTTTTATCTTTAATTGTGGCTTATTCCCAGTTTAATAGTAATTAATTTACAATGCCACAAGAAAATAGCTTCAGAACAATATTAAGAATCAATAGTAATAATCGCAAAGATATTCAACAACATATACAACTCTGGAGAAAATAGCAATAGAATGGCTGAAATCTGGGTTTATTGCACTTCCAAAAAACAACAGGAGCCAAAAAATACGAAGATTATCTTAAAATTGTTCCTAAAGATAATTCATAAGAGAATCTACAAGCTGTATTAAAGTCAAATTTCCCCCAACCAGTTCGGGTTCACAAATGCTGTTGATACCAGAGAGGGCTTTGTTCTTAGTACAAGTCTTATTTCAGAGATGCTGAGCTTTCAACTGCGACGTATACGCATGTCTGGATGATTACGAGAAAGCGTTTAATCGAGTACAGCACGCGAAGATAATGCAAATACTAAGTAAATCTCAGAGTTGAAGGTGAACACACTGACTATGTGAAAATCATGCGTGGAGTTAGGCAAGGCTGTATTTTGTCTCCTCTAATCTTCAATCTGTATTCTGAAAAAATATTTTTCGAAGCTTTGCACGAAACTAAAAAGATATTCTACTAAATGGTTACCGGCTACATAATATCAGATATGTAGATGACACCATAGTATTTGCGGAGAACTTAGAAGACCTACAAGTTCTTATGAACAAAATCACGTATTATAGTCAACAATATGGACTCAATATAAACGTTAAGAAGACAAAGCTTATGATAATTAGCAAGAAAAGGATATCAGAAGGTGAACTCTACGTCAACCAATCTCCTGTAGAAAGAGTGATGCACTACAACTATCTCGGTACTATAATAAATGATGAATGGACCAACAACCAGGAGAATATAGCACGCATCGGAAAAGCTAGATTCACCTTCAATCGGATGGGGGGTCTTCTTCAAGAGTCACAACCTCTTTCTTGATACAAAAGTAAGAATGCTATGATGCAATGTCTTTTCTGTCTTTTTTTAAGGTATTGAATCGTGGACCTTGAACGAAGATATGTGCAGAAAACTGGAAGCATTTGAGATATACAATAATAACCGAGAGGTACTGATCACCATTAAATCTCGAACAATTCTTCGGACATATTATGCGAAATGAATCCAGATATGCTCTTCTTCAAGCCATCCTGCAAGGAAAAATATTTGGAAAGCGAGGTCCAGGAACAAGAAGAACATCTTGGTTAAAGAACCTCAGAATCTGGTTCAATACAACATATGTGCAGCTTTTCCGCGTTGCTGAAGATAAGATAAAGATTGCAATGATGATCGCCAACATTCCTAACGGATAGGCACATCAAGAAGGAGAAGATTCAGAAAAGATCTTTCAAGTCGTACTGTGGAAAGGTCTACAGTACTGTTGTTTGTAGTTGTTTTTTCTTTCAGGGACCAAGATGTTTTAGGTTTTTCTTGATATCTACTATTAAGATTAGTTGATTAACACACAAAAATTATGTACACAAAATTCTGATTTCATCTGCTTCAGTTCCAATATCCGCATACCCTTTTTTTGTTCTGCGTTTTTTTTTATCGCTTGGTCCAAAACTTCGTTTATTAGATAATGAACGAAAGGACACAAAATGTATTTTATTTAGTAGCTATATTTTCAATAAATTTTACAAATTAGATGTGAATGAACTGCTAATATTGTCAAAAACAAGACGAAGGCAGTTTTAAATTCAAATAAACAATTTGTTTACATTGGCGATTGAATACAACCTAGAGGTCATAAAACTGATAAGATTTCATTTGGGGAGCATACAGATTCGTATTTCTTATCTCAAAACTTTCTATTTAGGTTGACGAGAAAATTATAATTAATTTAATGAATTATATAATCCAATTGAATACTTTAATAATTTAAGAATTAGTTATAAAAAAATACATAAATTTTTCCGATAGTAAAAAATATAGAATGTAACAAAAAAATGTGAAGAGCACCAAGGATAATACAATGGGTCATGAATATTTAAAAGATCAAGATCGTGCGTATAATTAAAAAAGAATTTTCATTAAAGAACAAGAAACAGTCAAAAATCAACACAAAAAAACTAATGACATGCACATAAAAGCAGATAATTCTCACCCATTTAATTAAGAAAATAAATATTGAAACAAATATTGTAAACCTGTAAAGCAAATAAAACAAAATAACCAAGAATATTTCCCTTAACCAAATAAAACTGGATGAGAATTTTTTTATATGAATGTAAATTATCGAGTGCAAACGAAGATGATATTATAGAAAAAATAATCTATTAGCTTTTTTAGTTCATAAATTAACGAACTTTTGTATAAATATACAAAAAAAACTTAAAAAAAAATGGTACTTAAACACGTCTACAATCATAAATGAATGTAAAAAACCTTAAACAGAATAAAATAAACAACACAAAAAGGAGAAATTGAAAAAAGTTACTATTGCAATCATTATTACTATACTTTCATTATCAATACTAATCAGTAGAATGGTATCATCATCAATAGTATAACAATCATGTTGAAGCAGGAAACATGTGTAAAAGGTATGAAAAGTGTCATCTATTAAACGTGGTAATTATATTTTAAATTACTAAAGACCATGGTTTATTAAATCCTTAAGAAAGTTCTAACGCAAACGTAATCCTCATAGGATTATAAAAAAAGACCCATATAGAAGAAAACGATGAATCAATATGTGGTTATGAATGGGGTTTCTCTACTAATGCATCACGGAATGAGTCCTATTCCTAACAAACAGATGTCGCCACTAATAAGAAGGGATTGACTTGAAAGTACCAAGTTTCAAATGTCACCTGTCAAAAGTTAAGCTGTTTAAAGTGAGCTCGTTTACAGTCGATAAAAAAACACGTCAACTATGTTCAAAACTTTGTTTACAACTGTTTCAGCCTAATGGTTAGAGTTTTGGGTCGATATGTGCCAATATATGGAATATCCATCATCAATGTCATGTCATGAACACCCATTTTAAAAAAAGCCCCAAAAGAAAGAGGAATTGGCAATCACCAAATGGCTTGAACAAGAACGAAATTGACTTTATTTTTACTAACAAAAAAGACGCTGTTCAAGACGTAACTGTATTAAATCAATTTTCAACCGGAAGTGACCATAGAATGGTTAGAGCGAAGGTAGTCTTGAACGTAAAGAAGGAACGAAGAAATATGGCAACAAGGACTAAAACTGTTACGTTCACTGCGATTACTAACATAAGGGCATACCAGGAAGAAATAGATAGAAACCTTCAGAATGACGTGAAAGACGAAAACCGATATTGAACAACTTAACGAAAGATTGGTGGACGCTCTAAGGAAGGCACTGAAAAACTGTCAAGTTAAGAAAACAAGAAAAAATGAAAAACTTACAGAAGGCACAAGAAACCTAATGCAAAAAAGAAGGGAGATGAAAGATAAGCACACAGTGAACATCGCAGAGCTAAGGAATTTAAATAAAACCATTTTAAAAGCTATTAAGAAAGACATTAGGGATTTTAACACTAAAGAAACAACTAATACCATAGAACAAAAAGCCTTAAAGTTCTAAAACGAAAGTTGAAGACAGGAAGCAGAAACATTTATAAGCTAAAAAATAGACGAGGACATGCTGTGTGTGAATAACAAGAAATTATGAAAATTATAGAACATAAGAGTACTATAGAACATTATATCGTCGAGATGCTCACATTCCAGAGGTGAAAATTCCATCCAAACAAAATCAAGGATCAGAGGAACTTCCAGATATGAACGAAGAAGAAATTGAATCAGCGTTGAAAGGTATGAAGAACAGCAAATCACCTGGAGAAGATGGCCTTTTAAGTGAAATGCTAAAATTAGGAGGCGAATGCGTCATAAAAGCTTTAAAAACGCTTTATAATGCCTGCCTCTTTGAAGGAGTTACACCAGAAAAATGGAATAGTGCCATTATGATAATATTGCACAACAAAGGAGATGTAACAGAAATTGGAAACTACAGACCTATCAGCTTGTTATCTCATTTTTATAAGCTCTTTATGAGAATAATATTACTAACAGACTGGAATCTAAGCTGGATTTTCATAACCATTAGAGCTGGCCGGATTTAGGAGTGGTTTTGGAACGAATGACCACCTACAAGTAATAAAATCCTTAATAGAGAAAGTTACAGAATACAACAAGCTATTGATATTAATATTTGTAGACTTTGAGAAAGCGTTTGACTCAGTCCAGCATAGCTCCATGTTAAGAGGTCTTACAGAGTGCAGTATTGATCATAGATACACAACTCTTCTTCGGAATATATATATATATATATATATATATATATATATATATATATATATATATATATATATATATATATAATAGCGCAACAGCTGCAGTTAGAATGTATTATGGCAACACAAATACATTTCCCTTCGAGAGGGGTATTAGGCAAGGAGATACCATCTCTCCTAAGCTATTCACCGCTTTGTTGCAGAGTGCTATAAGAAACAATAATTGGGAGAATATTGGAGTCAACATTTTCTGAATGTTGAGAGTTTCTGAATAACTTGAGATTTGCAGACGACATAGTCCTTATTGCAGGCTGGGTAGATCATGCCTGCCAGCTTCTTCAAGACCTTCAGAGCCTTGATCTACCTGAAAATGTTACATCAATCAGACTTTTTTGTGATGGGTGTGGTGCTCAAAATAAAAACAATTTCGCTTTGCATACAATTATGCTCTTTTTAATCAAAACAGTCCAAAAAAGTCCAAAGTAACATACATCACAATTACATTTCTGGTGAGAGGACACAGCTTTCTTCCTGTCGACCTAGTGTTTGGACGAGTGGAAAAATTGTTGCGTAAACAACCAACTATCATCCACAAAGAAACCTACATCGATGTATACAAATCAGTTGGAACAGTAAAACTACTGGGAGAAAATTGGAAAGTGTTTGACACCAAAAGTCTTTCATTAACAGAAAAAGGCTGCTTTAGCCATCTGGACGGTATCTCAGACTGCAAGAGAATTTTCATAAAAGAGCAGTTGTTAATCGACAAATTAAACTTTCGGTCAGAGGCCTAATGAACTTTGTGTTTGAATGTAAGACGGGGGCGTGGAAATTTCTTCAAAAGAAAGTTTGGCCTGTTAAAAAATGAGCCATATTAGTTATAGATGAGTTGCCACTTGGTCACAACATACCTCCAGACAAAAAGAAAGATGTTGACAAGCTTTTGACGCAGATCTTTGGGGAAGAATGGAAAGTCATTATAAGTTTATTTTTTGACCTATACCTATTTACATGATCCATTAAAAGAGGATTAGTTCTTATAGACTTTATTCAAAACAAGTTTGGTCCATACCGGTTGATCAAATGTACAAATGTTGTTCAAAATATACAAATACATTTCCTTTCGAGAGGGGTATTTGACAAGGAGATACCATCTCTCCTAAGCTATTCACCGCTTTGTTGCAGAGTGCTATAAGAAACAATAATTGGGAGAATATTGGAGTCAACATTTTCTGAATGTTGAGAGTTTCCGAATGACTTGAGATTTGCAGACGACATAGTCCTTATTGCAGACTAGGTAGATCATGCCTGCCAGCTTCTTCAAGACCTTCAGAGCTCGTGTGCACGAGTTGGACTTAAAATTTATTTTTCCAAAACACAATATATGACCAACCTTGTACTGGCGAAGAACATCTCAACTAACGGCACGCAAATTGAACAGGTGTATAGCTATAAATATCTGGGCCACGAAATTAAATTAGGAAGAGATAATCAAACAACGGAGCTAAACAGGAGAATAGAACTAGCATGGGCGGCTTACGGAAAACTGAGAGAAGTCTTTAGATCAGATATTCCCATGTGCTTGAAAAGGAAGGTCTTTGATCAATGTGTACTCCCAGTTCTAACGTATGGAGCAGAAACATTGACCCTTACCAGAAAAGTAATCAATAAAATACAAGTGGCACAGAGAGCGATCGAGAGGTCAATGCTGAATATATCCCTCAGAGACAGAGTATCAAATACTATAGTTAGGAGAAAAACTGGTGTTACTGACGCAGTTCAAAGGATTACAACATCGAAATGGAAGTGGGCAAGGCATGTTGCCAGATTAAAAGATGGAAGGTGGACGAAGAAAATTCTGGAATTGAGACCTAGATACGATGCTTATCGTAATCGAGGACGTC